AAGAACCACCTATCGCGAGCCACTTCAAACCGCCCCAGCATACTCATCTTGGTTTTACTAAAACGATATAGAGATATCTACTTTGCTTATGCCCTCAAACAGTCCCAAACCCACTTAGCAGTCATAGTTTTCATCACACAAGAGAAATGGGTACCCGACAGGAGGCCCGTCGCGCGGCAAGAAGGCAAAGTCAGCGGACGAGTCGCAGCGCGTACTGTAGTGATTTCGCGTCAAAATAGAATGTCCCACTGCACGTCCTACATCGCACATCACGCGCTGCGACTCGTCCGCGACTCTGCCTTCTTGCCGCGCGACGGGCCTCCTGTCAGGTACCCGGAGTTACAACACATTCTTGTCATTTATTGGGACACAACCTTCTGATCTTGGAGGTTACCAGACTTCTTGTTCTGATGTACTTCTTTATAACGGTACAAATTTTTTACAACCATCAGATTTCAAGTAGTTTATGTCCTCGTCCTATGTGGTCTATCTTCTCGAAATGACAGAGCTAAACGAGCTTAGAAAGCTACGCACATGTGTTATGTTGTTCACTACCCATACCCAAGAATCACAGTTGAAGTCAATACTCGAAAACACAAAATGGCCTGATCAAATGAAAAAGTAGAGAAAGAGACTCATTATAGAATAAGTGCTTACAAACAATGAGTGAACTGTACAAATATAATAGTACCAAAATTAAGGCTAATCGATTGATTGAAAGATACGTTGCGATAACGCGCGCGTTCGCGACGACAACTTCAAGGAAATTCAATGCTAGTTGAAAAGCAATGGATGAGATGATGACGACGGTATACAAACAAAATGCTCCTCGTTCGGATAGAAACTCTGTCAGATTGTCTTTGAGTATCGCATAAGCTGGTAACACGAATCCTTCACGACGAATGCGAATGTCCTGATGATAACAGTGCTGGAACGATCGCTCCTCCAATTATAGCTACTAGCTCTTTGATTGTGAAGCTTGTACCACCTGCAATTCATAAGTGTTCATCTGGAAAGCTCATCCTAGCCGAACAGTACACCTGCGAATTTCATGGAGTACTACGGTGAAGAAGGACGTGAACACAGTCTAAGTTAGACCGTACAACTGCACTCGCAGGTTTAAGAGGATTGTCACTTTCCGCCAAGATGTTACAAATGCTTGCGGATTGAAGCAGCGCATACAGTACCATGCCATTACAGTGACCAGTAACTATGAAAGACGTGTCCAGAAAATAGACAGTACTGTGTTTATTGTAGATTCTTTCTTCTGACCACGAAAGTGTTTGGGTACCCCCAGGAGGCTGAGATTACTCTTCTTTAGGGCCGCACCCGCCCGCGGCAAAGGAATGCGGGGGTCAGCGGAACGAGGTCCGTTCGCGGTATTGGGAAATCGGCGTCGAGTTTGGAATGGAATGTCCCGATTGAACGTCCTCTCGACATCACGACAGTCACGCGAATAGATCGCCGACTCGCGCCTTCTGCGCGCACTGGGCTCTGGGGGGGGTACCCAAGTTTTGAGGACTGGGGAGCGACTTTTTTAAAACAGATTTTTTGCATGTTACAGGGCACGCGGCAAGAAACATAAAACTGAGATATTTTTTATGGCGGCTCTGCCAAATGCTAAAACGTGTCGATCCATGGCTTGGTGAACTTTAACTTATGTTGAGTAAATTAACAGCATTAAAACATTGTATTTGTGTTAATTTGAAATAACAATAGTAAAGAAGACAAACAAACCTATTTCACGCTAAAATTTTGAAAATTTTATTTAATAAATACTACAATAATGTAAAGTCAAATTCTTTATACCTCTCCTCCCTTACTGATGAGCACAGGGAGAGGATACTCTTTCGTTTAGTCTCCGTCTAAGGGCACGTGCGAAACGGAGACTAAACTACTCTTGAATCCCACCCCCTAAATAAATTTTGGCAAAAGTACATAAACAATATTGAGATCAAAAACAACTTTTGGTTTTACAAACTGAATGATCAATATATCAAAATCAATAATTTGTGGTTCGATCCCCATTGAGGACAAGATTTTTGCATTTCTCTGATTTCAACTTTCTTGGGCTCATAATGTCTAAACTTATTTAGTGAACAAAAAAGCTCCAAAATGCAACTATTCAACTCTACAAATGCTGTAGAGTTTATTAAAAATGGAAAAGCTTCACTTCTCAGAAAAATTTTTGCCCCTTCTTCTGTGAATTCCAGGGACCCACCCAGAAAAAATGATCATTGGATTTATGTACACGCACATGCCCTGTATCACGCACAACTGCTTTTTGAAAAGCGTTCTTGTCTAAAGATTTTCTAGGTGAGTTCTTGAATGTAGGCGGTAATTTTTGACCGTTCCATCCCGGCCACAAAGCAAAAAAGGCCACTGGATAAAGTCGTGATTGTTGAGCAGATTTTCTTCTTGTTCGAGAGTGAAGTTTGCAAAGCTGTAACCTTTTCATGTCAACTCTTTGTGAAATATGCGAATTAGCTACGAGATTTTTGATATTAGAAAAAATTGGATTTGCTAGTTCACTACGTAGGAATTTCTTTGTAGGACTATTTCTTTGACACGGGCAATTTCACTTGGAAAGTGTTAAACTGCATGGCAATGCACAAAATTTTGTTTAGAATTCTAAGTTCTACATGACATATTTTATTACTACATAGTCGTTAGAAAAGGGCTGGCATCGATCAAACCACGGCATGCGCCATACAATCGACTTCACCCAGAATACTGAACGCATTGAGCAGTGTTTTTCCCCACAACACTTTTGAAGCGTTCAGCGCGGAGGAGCCAGTTGCCATCTTTATTGAGGATTACCCAAAGTCTCAGCGCAACGGTTGGAGGTCACTTGCCTATCATTTATAAGAGGCAAAATATAACTGAAATCGGTTACGTTGATCTGGTGGGGCTTAGCGTTCTAATCTAATTTTGAAATAATTTCTATCTTGCCCAATCTTTGCCTATTTTGGGGTTCTGAAAACTGTCCCTTACCGGGCCGAACGATGCTAGACAAGTGGGCCTGAGGAGTCGGGAAGCTTAAATAACGAGGGTGGGAGTCAATGCACGGATTTGATACTCGCCGTCCCTAATCACTGTGTTGTCTTTGATAGATTTTCGATAGATTTGGTTCATTTGATTGTTCAGATTGGCCCCTTGGCGATCATTTTGGCAAAACCTGAGTGGTTTCGAAAAGATGCAATTCGTAATTGCATTAAACTATGAAAAATAAGAAAAGGCTTCACTAGCATCTTAAACCGGCTAGCAATCCTTTTTCGAATGTTATATTTGTTCGGTAATAGAAGTGATGGTCCAGTCGAGCCCAACAGGTTGCATTCGTTACCCGCCACATGATATCTCTTCATCAGTGGATCCGCACGTTGTGCCTGAGGGAAAGTCTGGTATAACATCTTGGATGTATGAAGCGCTATGAAGGGAATACAAGCGCTCCATCGGAATTTTCCGCAATATGAGTCAAGTAATAACGCCGCACCTTTCCCATGACCTGCAGCGGCTAAATACAATTCACTTATGCTTGTCGAGTAGGCGCGTTTTTGCAGCATTTTTATTTGCACTGCCCATACCACTTCCATTTTCTCTTGTGAAACGCTCTTCCGGAACGATTATTTCTGCGCACTTTTTTAGCTTCCAATATGACAGAATGGATTGATGAACACAGAACTGATCAATTGTTGAAAACAGTTCTCGTTCTGCAAACAGAATAGAGCTTCTTGATGCTTGTCATTCATATATCGAGAATTTCAATGTCTTCCATTATGTGAAATAGGCCATCTTGCAAGCAAGGTGACTTGGTCCTCTTCGTGCATATGATCAGAATGTTTTAAAATCAGAACACTGAATATTCATATGGTCGTAAAAAATCGTAGTGCGGCAGGAGAAAATCGCTGGCATTCGGGTATGTGAAATGAGAACGTTTAACATGTTTCTACAGTTTCCATTCGAAATGAGTGGCTACGTTGAGGATTCACGAGAAGGGCACGGATATCCTTGGCCAAAATTACAGCAGGAGACTACATTGTGCACAGTTCTATATTTGAAGCATCTGAGCATGATTCAACTTCTGAACGATGTTCCGCTATCCGACATGAGCTTCACGTCTGTTAGCAGACACTATTCGGAAGAGGAGCGCAGTTAGTTTCACGTACTATTCCAGGAAAGAATTAACAATAGTGCTTGCTAAGAAATATAATTCTCGATCCCTCTACCCCTACCCTTATCTGAAGCAGCCACTTTTTGGTAAGTACAAACCTTCAATTCGAATGTCAACTGAAGGCTCGGCATGGGATTAGGCACACTCAGCGATTCTGTCACCGAGTAGCTCGTGGGCAAGCGTTGATGCAGTGCTACTTTTGCGTTTTGAAAATGAGCAACAAAAGCGCTAGATGTTCTCTAAACCGCACTGCACGCTTCATCCGCAGGCCGCTTTCCGCTGTCGACGACAACGCTGGTGCTGCCGGAAGAAAGCGAGCTCAATTTTGGCGCTAGCCCTGAGCTGGCGCTTTGGGATCGACTGCGCACGCCTACCATAATGACCTTGTCCAGAGCTGGAGAAGAGGCGGTTCAGTGAAGAATAGGCGGTTTCACCTCAGGTTCCCACGCGGTCTTACAAGGTACGATTACTCTATGACACCACGCTGTCGTCACGGTATGCTTTTTTTTCGATAGAGCCTTTTCTCAAAAGTAGCTTTAGTGCTATTTGAAAAGCACAGATATAGCAAATCTCAGATCTTTTCTCCTATTCATAAAAAAAATCTGTAGGAAGTTAAGCTTGTTTGGGGATTTTCTACATCCTCAATAGTAACATGGACCGATGTCTTCTATCACTGTAGCAAATCCGAAACTACCTTTTTGAAAATATTGCTAACGAAGATTCCAGAAAAAGAAAAAGAAAAAGTAGAAGCAAAAGGAACCTGAGTGGGAATGACCCGCGGTTGCCGGAGACTGCGCATCCACAACTAACATGTAATCCTTCTGCGACTTAGCACGATTAGCCTAAAAAAATAATAAACATAAAAACAGGTAAAGACAAATAGGAAAGCAAGAAAACATAAGGGCTAAAGTTCCTGAAATGGGACTAATCATTCAAATAAATTGAAACACCGTCGCCGTACTCCTATAACTTGCAAAACACTGTTCTGCGACGTGTGTGGTTGCCCGATTCGTTCTATCTGAGCAACAATTTTGCATGTGCAGGTTAACGTTCAGAATATGGATGGAACGAGCCAATCGGAACCATGTCCCAATGGGTCTTCGAAATGGATGGTGCCGACGAACAAAAATTTCGAATTTCGATTCAAAAATTCAAATTGGGAAAAATAGGTGAAAGATAAGCAATCGAAATTCACAGGTCGAATAAGGGAGATCCAACTGCAAAAAGAAGAGCTTTCTTCGAATGGGCAGCGACAATCAGAGTTCATAACAGGTATAAGCAACTTATAAAAATAATAAAAGGATAAAGCATTTGCCGTTGATCAATCCCTTTTGGGATGCGGCACGCATTCTACTTCCATTTGTACATTCGCAGTGGCGTTTGAATGCGATGTGGCCTATACAATGACTTGCGGGGGCCAGCCGATGTTCAAGTCAGTGTTTTTATCCTCCCAGACAAGTCTGGTACCAATTAACCGACCCCGGAGGGATGGAAGGCTTGGTTGGCCCGGGCGACTCACGACCCAGGATTTGATCCCGGACCGCTCGCGTGGTGAGCGCGCCACTTGTCACTACACCTATAGAGCCTATAGAGCAGAAAAAAACTGATGAAGAAAAAAGTCTAGAATGCACTTATCATAATTGAGGTGAGCTGATGCTAGCCTACAATGTCGATGAAATCCTCAAATGGGCGGCGTTTTCTTCTTTCTTTTACAAAACCTCATTATTAAGTTCCAAATACTCTCGAGCGTGCGCCAAGCTGACAAGCGCGCACGAGAATTGTATTCGTTACGACACTGTCGGAAGTTGAAGCAAATGGGAGAGGTGCGAAAGGAGAATAATGCAATATCTTCATTCGGTTTGGCAGAGTGTTCATGACGATGTGCAAAGTTCGGCGGGAAGTCCGGAATCGTTCAGTATTCGATCACCGTTTAACGCATGCGTCAGTGTGCATAGCCAAACAAGTTTATTGATAAATCACCTAACTCGTAGCCCGACATGCAAAATCAAGCAACGTTCTCGGATTCAAGAATACCGCAGAAATGTGTGAAAACACGAGAGAAAGACTAATTATCAAACATAAATGAAAGCAAAATCTTAACCATCCGTGCAACAAGGGAGGACTCCATACTTACCAGCTCTGGCAGTACATGAACCGTAGCGACAAAAAGAAATGTCCCTGCTGAGAACAGCATGAGCACTCCAGTTGATGATTCGGAAGACCATACCGAATCACGGCCTAGCTGGAAACCATAGATGATTGAGAGAACATAATGAATTCATAATCACAGAAACCAACAGAGGCTATGTGGAGCCGTTCCAAATTGCATTTGCGTTTTGCTCAGCACTTAAGAGAGTCATGCAGATTATGAAAAGTGAATCATCAGAAAATCCCTGTTCAACGAGTGACAAAGAGTGGGCCAAAAACACTCAGAACTTGAAAATAGGAAGTTCAAATTCCCAAACAAAAAAGTGATAACACGTTGTACTACAATATTGATGCTACACCATATTACTCCACACCTTACGCTATCGCCTGCGAAGAGGCGATTATACCCTAGGTGGAAATTGGGGTGCGGGACTTTTGGCTCGTCCAATGTGCACGCGGCAAAGTGCGCGGCGATTCTGTGCGAGACAAGGCTTCTTCGGGGTTCTGCAGCAGAATTGAACACGTCAAAGAGTGCGCAGCTTGCGGATAAATGATGATTCTACAGTTTGAAATAACATTTGCGGAGATTTGAAGCAGCCGGTTGATGTCAGCAAAAGAGATGAGAGAGAACCTTCATGGGAATTATATCAAAGCGAATGAGAAGCACCAAAATTAGAAATTTTTACTGAGATTGATTTATCTATTACAAGTTATACATGCTTTGCTGACTGTCCTCAGGGGGGGGGGTTGGGTGGCATTCGAATTCTTTCTTATTATACCCTGCGAAAAAATTAAGCCCACTAAACAAGAATAACGGTTAACAATAATTGTAATTGATAAAAAACAAATGGAAAAGACAGGGTGATGTTAGACTAAGCCCAGGAGAGGAGGCGAGTAATTTCGGATAAGAACACAAATTTGCTTCACATTGCTCCACAGCAATCCTTCGCTCCAGAGGAAATCTCTTCCTTACCACATTCCAGCATTTTGGACTCATCTTTGGTTTGAATGTCAATTTTGCTACCTCCACCTTCCTTACTAATTTTCATTTATTTAATCAGCCGCCTTTTATATTCATGAGTTGCATGTACTCAACCACTCATTCGCAGGACCTTGCGCGATCTGCACGCTTTGACGTGTTTGACTTGAAAAGCCTGCGAGTCTGCCTCGTTTCGGATCGCGCGCAGCCGCGCGCCGATCTTGCAGACGTGACAGGTACCCGGACGAGACAAAAGTCTTCCGCCCTTGAAATGGCGTGACAGCATCATGGGCTCCAATAATACAGCACATTCCCTTAAACTGGTGTCTAGCTGTAAGAACAGATTTTCATGGTACCGCATTTGTACTCAGCCCCATTTTCAATTATTCAACTTGTAAGTAGGATCCCCTTCAGTTACTATACGGTCACAAAGCACATAACGATTTCAAAAAACTGGCCCGATGAGATAAACATGTCAAAAAAAAAAGCAGTTAATGAACGAACTGCTCTTACGTACACTTCAACAAACAGCAAACGTTACAATAGCAGCGAAAGGCCGGCTAAGTGAAGACGAGAGAGGGTTCCGAGCGTTGCACATCGATCCTTCATAAAGAAGAACAAAAACTAGCAAATGTTGCTGGAAGCTTAAATTTGAAAACTGATAAGAAATCAATCTCTTGATAGTTACTCTTCATACTACTCAAAAAACCCGCTTTCCAAAGACAGATTCGAAAAGAAAGTTCCGTATGTGCAAAAAAATGATTTTTAATGGGAGGCGTACTACGAATTTGGCATAGAAAGATACAGCACTCCCCAACGATTTTAAGAACAGATTCACAACAGCCTCATAAGTCATATTTGCATTTGAATAACGAATTTCATATGTAGTACTCCTCATGCAGCATGACTTATGTGAAAAAAATAGTGCAAAAAGTGAGTGAAACAAGGAACTAAACTATACATTACCTTGTGCAACATTATAGCAACGAAAACTATGAGCTGTACATCCGATTTGTTGATTGTTGAAGCACTTCCTAGTGCAATACCATCAGCTGAAAAGTTGTATTGAAATTGTATAGCTGCGCACGCTGTTGCGCGCCGCATTACAGTATATGTTAGCGATTATAGAGCGTGGCGGAAAGAGAATTCCAAATACACCAAATAGACCACGAACATTTTGAGTTATCTAGTCTGCACTAGGTTCTATCCGCTTCTTCTTGTTCGAGCCGATTTCTGGACCGACGTCCAGTGATTTCAGACTTTCCGCCCCGTCCAAATCGGGGGCGTACCCCATCCATAGACGCCTTCTTGAGGGCTCTATCCGTTTTTCCTGGTCTCTGGACTATCTCTGAACCGATCAAAAAGTTCCTCGGTAAACTCTGCCAATTTCGGCGAGGCTCTGCTCGCTGATAGCATATCACCTTCTTCCTAGGCAACTTCTTCTGTTTCTTCGGTACTGCTCTGAACCATGATTAATGTTGCCTTGGGAAGTTCGCCGCTTTCGTGCATGTTTAAGCGTCATTAGCAGATGTCCTCAACCGACCTCTATCGAACTGTTACCCGCTCTCCGGGATTTGTTAGAACCGAGTTGTTAATTTAGTGGCAAACTCCACCCACTCAAAGGGCACGCCTCGCCCATTGTGGGCAGGCTACGCTCACCCAATACTCTGGTAACACCTCAAACAATGCTTTCCTAAAGCACTTTTTGTGCTCTGTGGGCTTTCGCCCAACCGAGTTATGGATTAATTCAAGGAGCTCCGCCTTTACAAAAAACACCCAAGAACCCACCGCAGGTGAACCCTTCATATACTCATTCCCGATCTCTAGGCTGTTTTGCAATCAATTTTGAAATTTTCGTCGTCGGTAACTCTGTGAGCAGGTCTCCTCTACTGATGTAGGGTTTATGTTACTGTCATATCATGCCTACTTCCATCCTAATTTGACCCGATTTTCTTAGGTGTATCCTCAAAGTAGGTAATGGATGAGTTAAGTATACTATACAACCACGGACGAAGCGCTTTATAGTATGTAGTTCAATTTCGAAACGGTGAAAACCAATGACGAATTACAGAAAAGGAAAGAAATCATCACCAGCAGCGTGACACAAGTCCTATGGTCGCAGAAACTCCCATTCTGTTGCGTCCAGTACGATCATCTGCAATGCGAACGTATAACTTACAACTCAAAGCGCGTTCGAAAAATAGAGTACAACTTTTCGTTGAAATTTAAAACCCACTTCTTGACCAAGCTGCATTGCTTATCTGATCAACAAGCAACATGAAAATGAATCCAAAAACAAGAGGATAGCCAATCTGCTGATGAGCCTTGTGGCTGTGATAGGCTTCATTGTGGGAATGCGAATCAGCAGGCGCCTCTCCCAAGTTCACCTCGTGACTAGCCGCAACTAAATAGAACAACTTTCAGGACAACAACACTTATTTCGAGGAATTGTTCAGGAAGATCTCCAAAAAGCATTAACATAAACTGGAACAAATATTTCACTACGCAATGATCGAAAGTACGAGAAAAAAGAAAGGGCTATGGGAGAGGGGGAGGTTCACGAGATAATTTTGAAAAAAGTGCTATAGTTTCAACAAACTGAGAGAACACCAAGAGGACCGTGGGGAGACGGTCAATTCAATCGTCGGCTAATGAGGTCACGCCGCTCACGCGGCGGACAGCGTCGCGCGCGGCAAATGGTGCGGCGATTTTTGTACGGGTCTTGGCTTAACGGTCCTTGTCCATAAGTTGCTGGTGGGGTTAGAGAACTGATAAGATCAAAGTTCCAGACATCAGTGAGCCAACAAGAACCACCTCAAAATCTCCGCAGTTATTACGCTTGTGCCATGTAAAGGTTGTCCTTTTGAACATAATGAGACTTCTTTATTAATCAACTGCCTGAATTGTTATCAGAGAGCGATAATCTGGCTAAATCGGGAAATATTACGTTCCAAGACGCAGTGGAACGGTGAGGAAGGCATAACATCAGTATGACAGAATAAGTTTGTAAATAATGGCAAAGGACAAGGATCCTGTATTTTAAGGGGGCAGGTGATCATATACCGTGTTTCACGACTGGGAACTTCATCTAATCCTACATTCCCCAATGCTAGAACCCTGAATTCTAACCACGGCCGACGTCGCATCGCGGGCTGCGGCGGCTGGCGCGGCGACCTAGCCATCGCCACGATTGAATAGTCACGCACCCAGGAAAACCGGATCAGAGTGAAACTATTTAAAAAAAGAATTGAATGAAACTACATTGTTATTGTAAATGAATCGTGAATGAGAGTGAATCGAATACACAACGAACAAATATTGTACCCTGTTCGATCAAGACGCTCATCACCTTATGCCAGCCGACGGGCTCAGGAAATTTCCACCGATCTCCAATTTTGCCATGGCTCAAGGGTTGCTTAATTGGTAACATATCCTCCAAAATAAAAAAAGTACAACGACCTGTACATCGGCTGGCCTAAGCAAATCATTGTATAGGACAAATCCAATCCACATGCCTCTATTATTCTGAGAGGAGTAAAATGCGTGGCGCATACCAAAAAGGGATTGATCAACGCTATGCAAAATTACCCAATTAAGATACTTACAAAAACCTTCCCAAAATAGATTAGAAGCATGCACATATAAGTCTACAAGATTATGATAGACTTTAGATAGGGTCACGCATCTAACACAGCAACGAAACGGAGAGCGTGTCCTCACCGACATAGCTCAAAGGAGGATGAAAGTCACCAGTCGAGCCCTAGCCTCAACACCTTCCGATCCCGTAAAAAAGAGATAGAAAATAGTCAGAAAAAGCAATAGAAAAAATTCATTCAAAGAGAAGGGTGTGAGTTGCGATGAACCAAGTAAATCGGCAATCACCTTCTTATTATGCTGACAACTAGGTTCAGAAGTCCTGCCTGATTCTACATAAAGAATTCATTGACAAGCAATGTTCTGATTACATTTCAAGCTTTCAAGAAAAAGATGTTTTCCTCTCGTTATCG